CATGGGGGGCATCTCCTGATGTCGGCAGTCCCGCTTTCCCCCTCCACCACCAGGCTCCTCATGCAGACGGCCACAGATGTGGGGACTGTGCTGGGGAATCCTGGCACAGGCCCAGGAGAGCACGCCGGGGATCTGGACACGGCGCCAGGGGTGGGAAGCGGGCTGGCCAACCAGGCACCCCGGCAGTCGCGAGCACCAGAATCTCCAGGCTCAACCCCCGCCCGGAAAGCCACGCTCGGCGTAGCTCCAGAAGACCTTTGCACAGGGCACCCCGGAGAGCAGAGCTCCGAGCCAAGCTGCTAGGGACCCTCCGATGGCCACGTGCCCACGAGCCTACACTAGCCACGTGCTGGGCCCGGAGGTCCGGAGTCATCCCCCACGGTGGTGTCCACCCACCTTCCTCTCACCCGGCCACTCCCCATGAGGAGGTGGTGTCCACGTCTTCTCACCCACACTTGCGGACAGTGACCACTTCAGGACATGGAAGAGCTGCATGTCGAGACTAGGACACGGGAAAGGGTGTGGCTTCCACCCGTCCTCCCTCAGGGGACCCCGCCCTGGGCAGGCACTGGGCATGAGTCCAGGCAGAGCCCGGCCAGGCCGAGGTCCCTGCTGACCACAAGCGCCAGCCTGTGAGCAGCTGGGAGGGAGGGAGGGGTATGGGTGGGACGCGCTTCCGCCTCGAGCCTCCCTAGCTGGGGGAGTGGAAGCCACAGCTCCAGCAGCCTCTGCCCCATGGGGGGGACCCCGAGCACCACGTGGCAGGATAACTCGTAAAGCAGCCGTGGTCTTGGACCCGAGCTGGGCTGTCATCCTGACGGGCGGCAAGAGGAGGCCGTCACGTTCAGGGGCTGTCCCCTGCCCGGACTCTGAGACCCACCACCACGGGCATGTGAGGGCTACACCAGGTCACCGGGCAGACAGCACAAGTGGGCCGTGGAGGGGACAGTGGTTCTAGAGGGCAAGGAAGAACAGAGACAACCAGAGGGCAAGAGGGCAGCGGCTAGACGACACGAGGCGACCAGGAGACCAGGAGGCTGGGCCGGCCCAGGACAGGCCAGCGTACTGCAGCCCTGTGGAAACGCACCCAGCTGGCCTGACCCCACACACCTCTTAGGGCCTCAGTGAGATAGGACTCAGGGAAAAGCCACCGCGTAAGGAGACAGGTCGGCCTGTGCAGTCATGCAGCCCTCCCCTTCCAGGCATCGGGTTTCGGGTTTCATAACTCTGGCCTCTGATTCGCTCCCATCCCACTCCCTCCTCTCAACCCGGGCATCTGTGTTGCAATTCAGAGCAAACGTCAGCTAACTCCACTCAACTTTGAGCCGCAGACAGCTTTGGTTCCCAAATAACCCTGAGAAAAAATTTACAAGGAGTAATTCGGACCAGCTCCCTGGGCTGGCAAACGCGGCCGGATCCCACACAGTCCCCTGCACGGTCCTTCATCCAGCAGCTTGAGGGAATGCTGGCACGTGTGCACAGGTGCCCAAAACCTGGGCAGGAGGGAGGCATGGAGAGACCACAGCACGGCCACCCCACGGGGGGTGCTTCCTCTTCTCTCTCTCTAGCAAGCACCCTTTGGCAAAAATTTGACCAGAGAGGGACAGAGTTAGAGAAAAAGTGAGAAAGTAAGCCACCAGGTCTGGGACTCGAACCGTGGTCAGCCATGTGTGAGTCCAGCACCCTTAACCTCCATGCCATCTGCCAGCCCCTAAAGTTAAAATTTTAAAAAGTAAAAATAAAAATGGAAGAAGGGAGCCTGACTGTTAACCAATCTGGCTGGTGCACCCACATGGAGGCAGGTTCGCTGGCAGCGGCCCCACCCCAGTCCTTGAGGGACCTCAGGACGTGCAAATCTGAGCACACACCCCCCGACTCCAGTTGCCTGAGGCCAACAAGCAGCAAGTGGCTTACTGCTTGGAAGCCCAGGAGCAGTGTCCATAAGGCCGCGACAGACACTGGGCTGGGAGGAAATGGCTCGGCCTCACACCAGCAGCTGCAGAGCTTGGGAGGCCCCACCCTGAAGAAGCCAAGTACAATCGCCACGCTGACCGCCACACCGCCTGCACCCATGCCCGGATACTGGTACTCCCTGCAGAAATGCCTGCTGGGCCTCGGCCAGAACGCACACTTGGCAGGGGGCATCTTGCCACAGGAGACCCTGGAAAGGCTCAAGGGACCCTGCAGCTGGTTCGAGGGGACTGGAGTTTCGGCAGGAGGGGCAATGCCACCTGGAGTCTAAGTCCCTACGTTCAGCAAGACATCACCGTCAGACCAGGGGCCATGGCTGCGACTGTGGGGACCCTGCCCTTCTCTGGGAGCTGCACTGCTGACAGCCCTGCACGACCAGGCAGGCACTGGCCGCCCAGGGGAGTCACGGTCCAGGCATGAACCTGGCAGCCAGCACCACCAGAAAGGGACGGGCCTGACGACCATGCTCCAGAGGGACAAAGCAATCTGCAAGCAGCAGAGAAACCGGACCTCGGTCTGACTGAGCCTCTGAACCCAGGGACATTTTTTTTTTGTTAAGAATTATTTATTTAATTTTAATGTATTATTATTATTATTCAATTGACCAGAGACAGACAGAAATACAAAGAGAGAAAGGGAGCGTGGGAAAGCCAACCACCAGGTAGGTCCGGGACCCGAACCCTGGTTGACTAGTGCGAGTCCACCACCTTAACAACCACACCACCTGCTGGTCCCCCAGGGATCTTTTTTTTGGAGAGGTTTTCGCTATAGGGCGCGTGCGCTCACCAGATAGAGAGAGACAGAGAGACAGAAAGCGAGAAATCACCCCCTGGGGGGATGGTCACGCCGCAATCCCCTCTCCTCCATTCGCCTCTCGGAATCCTGGGCACGCACGGACACGCGCCCGGCGTGAGTTTTAAGCCACCGGGTCCAGGACGCGACCCGCGGTCAACTACGTGGGAGTCCAGAGACCTAGCCATTACACTAACTGCTGGTTCCCCCCCAGGGATCTTTTAATAGCGCTCTCTCATACCAAGAAACAGATGGGTAGGCAGGGCACAGCAGCAGGCCCCAGTGGGGTCCAGCTCGCACAGGGTCCCCCAACTCTATCTACAGGAGAATCACTGGAAGCTGGTCAGAGCGACTCTGCTTCACCGCCTGGCCCAGGGCAAAAGGGCGCCAGGACAAGGCCTCGGGGACGCCACTGGTCACAGGCTGACAAAACAGCAAGACAGAGCATGGAGCCACCCAGTGGCTATGGCAGGAAACTCCGAAGTAAGGAAAGGCTAGAAGCCAATACACTCAAATTTTGAAAAGACCTACTGGGGGGACCAGCAGTTACCAGAATGGCTATGTCACCAGACTCCCATGTAGTCGACCGCGGTTTGAGTCCCAGACCTGGTGGCTTAAACTCCCGCTGAGGTTCGAAGGGCATGGACAGTGCCGTGAGAAGCCACGGATGCATAGTCTAAACACACATGGAACCGCGGACCGCTGCCCAGCAGCGAGCCCTGGCAGGCTCAAAAAGCCCAGCCTTCTAGGCCAGGTTGGGGGCACCATCGGCCAGACCCCGCCAGGAGAGACGAGCACAGGCACAGAGGGAAGGCCATGGCCGTAAGACAGGGAGACACATGCAGGGCAGACACAGGGCTCCCTCCCTCAGTAACCCCACCTGGCCCAGGCAATTCTGTGAGCTGGAAGCCAACCCACGTCCCACTGGCCCGGCCAGCACACGCTCATCTGTCTCTAAGGACGGGAGGACAACTGCGATCAGGAATAGGGCTACAGACACCAGCTCCTGGCAAGGGTTCAAATCCACGACAGCCCCAACCTGGTGTGTGGGGAAAACACTTCTCTGAGCCAGAGCTGAGACGGGACGTACATCTCAGTCTAGCCACAGCGAGCAGTCCTGGATGGGGACCAGAAGACAGACAAGGCGGCCCTGAACCTCCCGCCCTGTCAGCCCGTGTTCACATGCCCGGCCTCAGATGGAGGCCAAACGGGGAGGAGGACTTCCTGTTTCCTGACTGCCAGGGAAAGCAGTGCCATGTGCTAAGTGTGTGTCGAGCGCGTGACTGGTCTGACCCAGACATAACTCGCAGAACACGCGGACCTTGGGCGAGCACCCTGGAAAAGGACTGCCCGTGCCCCACCGAGCAGGACTGGGATAGGAACGGACAAGGTGGTGAGAAGGGCCAGCTGACAGTCCGCGCAGAACACGGGAGAAGGTGCAGAGATGGCTGCCTCCCCGGGTGCTGCCTTTCCATGACCAGATCAAGCCAGGCACAGGAACACAGGCTCTGCACGTGGTGGCCACAGCAGACCGACACGCAGAGACCAGACAGCACCCTGACTGATTCCAGCACCGACAGCCTGACAGCCTGAACTTGGCATCGCGAACTACCTGTCATCTAACTGCTGAACACAGCACCCTCTGGTGGAGCGGGCGCCCAACACGCCTGCGGCAGCGCTGAGCCGGCAAGCCCTGCGCCCCGGGCACCTACCTGCGAAGGCGCGGCGCCGGGCACTCAGCTCGCTGGCAGCACGGACATCGGTGCAGAGCTTCAGCATCAGCAGCATGGCCAGGGTCATGACGACACTCTGCCACAGCAACGGGGCCTCGAAGTGCCTTCCAAACCTGGACCGGACACAGGGCATGAGGTCACCAGGGCACTTGCCGGTCTGCCATCCAGAACGTGCCCACAGCCTCTGTGGTGGGCAGACAGGCGGCCCACCCAGCAGCCGAAAGGGCTGCCCAAGCAGGGCTGGGCTGCTCGCTCCACCAGTTCCAAGCCAGCCCCACAGCCTAGTCAGGAGACAAGGGCCGGGTCCCACACAGCCTCCCACTGTTTGGTCCTGGTCCCAGCAGCTTGAAGGACATGCCAAGTACACGTGTGTGCCCCAAATTACAACAAGATGGAGAACTGGAGAAGAGACTGGGGCATGGCCATGCCTCATGGGGAAGTGTGCTTTCTCCTTCTCCCCCTTTCTGTGTCTGTCTCTCTCTGGGAGTGCACACACCCTCTGACAACTTAGAGTGATGGGGCCAGCAGATGGCGTAATGGCTATGTCACTGGACTTCCATGCAATCGACTGTGGTTCGAATCGCCGGCCCAGTGGCCCAAACTCACACCAGGTGCGTTGTGTGCGTGCGTGCCCAAGATCCCGAGAGGAGGACGGAGGAGAAGGGACTGCGGCATGGCCATCCCCCAGGGGGGTGATTTCTCACTTTCTGTCTCTCTCTGTCTTTCTGGAGAATCCATGCGCCCTACAGCAAAAACCTCTCCAAAACAAATAATAAAATAAAGTGACTCTAAGGGTTACAGAGCACATGTGCCAGCCTGCAAAGGAAGAGAGTGCAGAGGGCGCACACCAGGCCAGCGCGGGTTCAACGGGGAACAACTTCAAGTTCCAAAGGAGCAGGAAGACTGCCGTGGAGGGAGCGTGTGTACCTACCCGCAGTGTAACACAGAAGCAGCCCGGAGTAGCCAGGTTTGCCACCTCCTCTGATACAATGTCGCCATTCCTATATCCAAGATTGCCAGTCCTGGCCTAGAGCCAAGCATCAGCCCTACCATGGGTGGGGCGTGAGGACAAATGAATACCCAGTGAACGCCTGGCCTGGTGCGTGGGGCCCCAGGTGTCTGCAGCCTCTGCCTGCTGCCCTGATACAGTCACAGCCTGCAGACGTGCGCTTCCGGCAGCACTCAGCCCTTCCAGGTTGACCCACAAACCACAAACCCTACATCAGCATTTCATGGAGTGGGAGCTACTGAAGGCTAGCTTTGCAAAATGGTAATGAGGATTTTATAAAACAGGGCATGAGAGATACGTAAGTTCCAGAATCCCTGGGTTTACTTATTCACATCAACCCCTTCTTGCAGAACCACCTGGCCACGTACGCTGCGCACCCCAGGCCCCCAAGCAGACAGGCTGTTTCCCAGAGGGACCGGAGCTCTGAGGAACAGCTGCCAGCCGGCTTTGGAAGCCACGCTGGAGACTACGCACACTGCCCAGGGCAGCCTGCCACAGCCATGGCCTCTGCTCTCCCTGCCCCTCATCACGTGTGGTATGCGCATGCACACGAGCACGCGTGTGTCACTTCTGCTAAAGCGCAAGCCTGGCCGCCTCTCCTAGGCTTTGGCACAAGTGAAGCCCTGAGAACCTGCGAAATCCAAGAGCGACCGCCCTCTGGAGCCTGAGGGCACCAGGAGCTCAGGCGGGTGCAGAGAGGGTGCACAGAGGCCCTCCCTGAGCAGTGCCCGGCTGCTTCTAGGCTTCCCGAGCGGCAAAGGCACATCCCCAGAGGGAAGACCCCAGGAGGGACGGGCGCCCCGTGCTCCCCATGGTCTTCCGGCAAGTACTGGGAACTAGGTCAAGTGTGGGGTCGGTGGCCACAGGCAGTGTGGGGCACTGAGTCTATGAAGGAGACCGCAGGGAAGGCTACCCGTGCTGCCCTGGGAAAGCGCTCCCAGCCCCTCGGCCAGAACCCCCACTGTGCCAGAGCTCAGAGCCACGCAGGGAAGACCCCAGCACTGGCGTGACCGTGGAGGGCTCTGAGGCACAGGATTCTCATTTCCTTCCGGCTTGAACAAGCCCTCTGGGGAGACCTCTACATGGAACCCTTTTCCATACAGCAGCGGGCCACTGCTGGGGAGAAAATGATCCCACAGCCTCAGAACGTGAGCTAGGCTGGGCTGGGTGGCCCCGCGTGTGACCCCACTGTGGTGCGCCCGCTGGACAGCATCTGCTGTGCCCGTGCCCCCGGACGCTCCCACCCACACCTGAGCCACTCGGCACACCCACCACTGTCATGGGCAGCTGGTGACCTCGACCCTTAGTCAGAGGCAGAGGAGGACGAAGGAGGAAACTTCCACGTGGTGGCTCCACTTCCGCTAAAGAACTGAGCGCCCACCAGCCCTTGTTCAGAAGCAGCCTGGCCCGGAGACACACCTTGAGGAGCTGGAAGATGTTGCAGTGGCGACCAGCCCCAGAGCGGGCAGCGACCTCACTAGCAGGCCTCCCACAGCACCCAGGAGGGATAGGACCAAGGCGACGGACAGAACGCAAGGAGGAGAGAGAGGCGGATCCTGAACCCAGGTGAACATGGCTGTCACAACCCATCAACCCGCACGCTCCATAGGGGCCTCTGCGTCGTGGACGTCACACCTGCACAGCTGACATGGGGCTGGCCCACAGAAGCCAGAAAGTCAAACGCAGAGTCCAGACTTTTCTGGCTGCAGAACGCAGCTGTGAGACCCTCCCACCCAGTTCCCTGAAAGTCACCCTCCAGCCTTGTCTGGCCTCAACAGAAGGCGGAGGGTGGTAAGAGGGAACGCCTGGCTGTGCAGGAAGGAAGTCCCCGCCAGGAAGCTGCACTTCCTGTCTGAAAAATCCGGCGCAGGGAGGCTGGTGCCAAGCAGGCCTGGGTCCCTCCTGCCACCCTTCACCCAGAACCCCTTCCCAGCTAAGCCAGGGCCTGGCCGACCCACCCTGAAGGACCTGACCAGGTCCCCACTGTCCCACCCCACTGAGTTTCCTGGGAAATGACCTGATGGGAGCAGACAACCCTCCCGCACAGCTGCCTTCCTGAGGGGCCAGACACTGCCTGCTGCTCAGAGCCCCGGAGAGCCCTTTCTGGGGCCCCACTCACCAGAAGAGGATCCGCAGGATGTTGGCCGCCAGCAGCACCAGGCACACGTGGGTGGAGAAGCCGTCAGCGTTCTGTGTCCTGCGGATGTCCCTGTACTGCGGGATGTAGGGCACCACCCCTCCGAAGACTATGGCCCCCGAGGCCCCCCAGGACACCAGCTGCTGCAGCGGGACCAGCAGCCAGTCCAAGCCTTGCGCCTCCATCCCGGCACCTCGGTCCGCGTCCACTGGCTCAGCTTGTCACCTCCACGCTGGGCCGCGCGGGGCCTGGCAAAGGAGGGAGGGAGACCTGGAGTAAGGCCTGGGGGAGGCGTGGCGGCCGAGCCCCGGGGTCGCCCAGCTGGGTGGGAGGACGCACGGCCCGGGTAGGGGTGCACACGTGACCCGGGCCGGGTGCGGTGACCACGTGCCCCGGCCGAGAGTCCTCAGCCTCCCCGGGCCGCTCCGCGCGCACCC